GGGGTGGGGGGGCAGTCGGCACTGGGAGCCCTCAGCTGATTGCGTGAGAAGAGGAGTGGGGCCGGGGGAGGGGGAAGGCCCGGCCCTGCCCCGGGTGCTGTTCCAGCGCGTTGCCCAGGAGAGGAGCCCGCGGGCGCTTTGTGGGCGCGTTTAGGCGCCTTCCAGGGGCTCTCGGCCAAAACCAACCGGGTGGAATTTCTGCCTCTTCCCCCTGGACACCCCAAGACCTGGCTATGGGGGAGTCGCCTTCCTGCCCATGGTTGTGCCCCCCCCGCCATTGTCTGCCTCTCTCTGCTTTGCAGAACAGGCTCTGCTGGCCCCCCCTTTGTTCCCACCGTGGTGGCTCTTGGTAGTAGCTACAGGATGTGTGTTTGGGGGGGGTGTGTTTTTTTGCTCGACAAACTTTTAGCCCGTGTGTTTTAGCCGTGTGGGCAAGGGCAGCACTGTCAGTGGAGGGGGTGTTGGGTCTGGGACGGAGGTTGGGAGCAGAAGGGAGCTTGGGATAGAGGACTGGGGTGCAGGGGGGTGTGGGGCCTGAGAGGGACTTTCAGTGAAGGAGGGGGCTGTGACCTGGAGCAGAGCTGGGGTGCAGGGTCCAGAGGGGGTGGGGGGTAAGAGGGGTGCAAGGTCTGGGAGGGAGTTGTGACCCGGAGGAGGTGGGGATAGTGATCTGGGACGAGGGGGTGGCGGAGGCAGGCTCTGGCTGGGAGGTTCATACCTAGGTGGTTCCCAGCCAGCAGCCCTGCAGGAACCTGAGACCGGCTCCATGCCTGTGTGCTGGGAAGGCTGCTCCACGTGGCTCTGCTCCAGCGTGAGGTGGGGAGTGAGGAGGCTTCATTCGCTGCTCCTGCCTCCAGCAAAATTTCTCAGTGCCTATTGGCCGAAAACTGGCCAATGGGAGCTCAGGGATTTTGCTGGGGGTGGGGACAGTGCACAAATTCTCCTGTCCCTCCCCAGCTTGCAGAGCAATTAGCAGCCAGCTGTTTTAAACAGCGTGAGCTGCTCTGCAATAAGGGTGCCAGCGAGGTGGCCATGGGCCGGATCCAGCTGCTAGCGGCCCCTGGTGTCACAGCCATTGGATCGCTTTCCTTGGGAGGGTATCAGGCCTCGTGGCCAAGGGGAAGCGGTGGACGTGGGATACCTAGACTTCAGTGAGGCATTTGACACGGTCTCGCATGATCTTATCGATAAACTAGGCAAATGCAGCCCAGATGGGACTACCGTCAGGTGGGTGCGTATCCGGGTGGAGAACCGTTCTTGTCAATAGTTATTAGGTGCAGAGGAGTCGGGCCGGGCTGCCCTGGGCTCAGACAGAACGGCTGTTCCCATCCCTGCCTATTCGCTGCCAGGGCAAGAGCATTCTCCGAAGAGCTGCCATGACCGTAAGAGCCTCTGCGCGGGGTGAAAGCGAGAGCGCTCCAGGTACAGCACCTGGCGATGGAGCAGGTAGAGAGGCCAGCTCTGGAACCGGGATCCCAGGGAGCCTCCTGCCATGACAGCGGCGAAGAGGAAGCCCACCTCACCCTGGGCAGACAGGCCACCCAAGGGGCGATCCCCCGGCAGAAGCCGACCTCAGCACCAAGGGAGAGGCTTCAGGGTACACGGGGCCGTGTCCGCAAAGATACACGCCCTGCGGTCTCGGTACTGAAGCCCAAGAAGACGGCCCCTGCGCATCGGTGCCGCCACAGCTGGTGCCCAAACCACCACAGCAGCCCGCAGCTAAGGGCCGACAGGAACCCTCGGTACCGACCCCATGGATGGCACAGGGCCACGCAGTACTGCAATGGATCCAGCCCTCTGCGCCGACGGCACCGGCCTTTCCTCCCGCTTCGGGGCTGGGCACGCCGTTGTCCGGTACCACCAGCACACCTGCCTGGAGGGCCCAAGCAGACTAGCAACTCCACCAAGCTCGGCCCCTCCGCTCTGACCCTGACGACGAGGAAGAAATCTCCTTCACCCCAGGACACTCGTCCCGAAGCAGCAGCAGAGCCAGCCCCAGATGTGGCATTCCCACGGTTCCAGCCGTGGCAGGGAGGGGCCCCTGGGCTGGGCAGGAGCTTGGGCCCCGGCA